TCATTATCTATATAGTTTCGCTTAATTGGATATGTGTTAATCGTTCAAGGTAACTAGGAAATCATCCATTCTGTACTTGGCTGTCATCTTGTCTATCCAATTTAAATACATACAAAAATGGGTATACTAATTACAATTAATTATCCCCCATAATGCCTAATAAACATTTTATTTAAATGCAAATTTCCATTAAATACCAAGAAATAATTGGTTCAATAGTAAATCATTCATAGCATATACTATTGAATTAAAATTGTCCATGTTTTTAGTATACATCTTATCAGAAAACATCTCCAATTTCTAGATACAGGCGATAGCCTCTCTAATGCATCTAAAGGTACATGCCCCTCTCTTAGGTGCTTGGCAAATATGACTATCTCGCTGCAACAGATTAGATGTTTACCTTGATCAAATAGTAATTTTTACCTGGAAAAATCCTTCCACCCCTGTGGAGATGGATTTTCGAATCATGTCCATTCCTTTTCAATTTTTTCATGTTCAATAAATATTAAAGTCTTATAACATTAACATTTCGTAAATCCTTCCAGATTTCATTCTGGGTTCCAATTCTTAAACAAATCCAATGACAAAAGAGCAATGTATATTGTAATGAGAGCCATAATGGAGCTGAATTTCAGTGAAATAAATAGTAATAGTACAAGTTTTCGATTTAAAAAAAAAAAAAAAAAAAAAGGAGAAGATATTATTGTATTGTTTGTGGCTCTGTCTCTTGCTCTATCCTTTTCCTCCGTCTCCCTCTCTATTTGCAATTTAGTATTACCTGGAATTTCTTGTTTCCTTTGCAATTTTTCATGTATATTTCTTCCTGTATGTATGTTCCAGCTGATTGATGTAGTTCTTGTGTATGCAGCACTGGGTAATTTCTCAGCCATGTTGTTATTTCCCATAATGATTTATTATTTTAAGTTGGGTGTAACTGGAGCTGCAATTTCCACTGTCATATCTCAGTATGTTCTCTATACACTGAAATCCTCATTCAGTCATTTTATTTACTTTTATTTTTAACAATAACTATGCCACACGTTTCTTGTTGTAGATACATTATCACCTTCTTAATGATATGGCATCTAAATAAGAGGGTTATATTATTGCCTCCAAAGATGAGAGCCCTGCAATTTGGTGTCTATTTGAAATCTGGTGAGTTTTGTTCCTTCATCTGAAAGACAAACTAAAACTACATGAGACATGGAATCACATCCCATTATGATAACATTGACTGCTATGGCAAAGTTAGTGCATCCACTTGAGTTTTGTACTGCACTATTTATGACATTTAAATGTTTTCTTACTTCAGTTGTATGCACTGTATGTTTCAAATTATTTCCACTTCTTTTTCACTTATAATTAGTGACTTTGTAGGTGGTTATCTTATTGGAAGAACTCTTGCTGTTTTAACGACCATGACATTAGCGACTTCAATGGCTGCTCGTCAAGGTCCTGTGGCGATGGCTGCCCATCAGATATGCATGCAAGTATGGTTGGCTGTATCTCTTCTAACAGATGCATTGGCTGCATCTGGTCAGGTAGAGAGTTCTCTCTGTTTGATTAATTTTTTCAGCAAACCATCACAGCTTACAGCTACTTCCTCAGAATGTGGATGAAGTGCTATTGGTTAGAATCATCCAAATCTTAGTTGTTATTTAGAGCACGACTAAAATTCAAATGTAAATATTTGGGAATACTAATATTTAAAGAGTAGCACTCAGAAAAGGCTTTCTTGCACTAAAGATTTTTTTATATTATGCATTTGGACTTTGTAATGTAAAATATCTTCCAGGAAACTTCTGTGATATCCTCTTGACTTAAACTCTGTTGTTCATTTCATGTCATGTCTGAGGCATGTGCCTCCACGTTAATGGCTGTGTTATTGATGCTTAACATTGTATCTATTTTGCAGGCTCTAACTGCAAGTTATTTGTCAAAAAGTGACTACAAGAATGTGAGAGAAGTTGCAAATTTTGTGTTGAAGGTAGCTTTCTTTTCCTATTTATGTGTGTGTGTGTGTGTGTGTGTGTATTGACCATATATTCATTTTGTATTCAGTGGTAGGGAAGATATCAATTGTTCTAAAATTCAATAGCTATTCTTTCGGTTTTGCTCACAGCTTGATGTGCTTTTTTGTTAGATTGGTCTGGTCACTGGTGTTTCCTTGGCTTTAATTCTGGGTGTATCTTTTGATTCCATGGCCACCTTATTTACAAAGGATGTTGAAGTATTGGGAATTGTCAGAACGGGGATATTGGTGTGTATGCTTTTCCTGCAATTTAATGAATATATGTTTTTGTTTTATCTGAATACTCCATATTTTTATTGATTTGATCTAAAATTTTTCCAGTTTGTTAGTGCTAGTCAACCTATAAATGCACTGGCATTTATTTTTGATGGTCTACATTATGGTGTCTCTGACTTTCCATATGCAGCCCAATCTATGGTAAGCAGCACTCTAAAATGTCTTTGTTTTAACTTTTTCTTTCTTTCTTTTTTTTTTTTTTTTTTTTTTTTTATCATAATTTCGTAAAACCAAATAGTAGATTTGTGGATTAGAAAAAAATATTTGCTGGGTTCATTTTTTGTGAAAGCAATATTAATTATTATTGCCATTAAAATATTATTTACTTTTAACCTCGTAAAACCAAATAGTAGATTTGTGGATTAGAAAAAAATATTTGCTGGGTTCATTTTTTGTGAAAGCAATATTAATTATTATTGCCATTAAAATATTATTTACTTTTAACCAACATTAACAAATTAAAACATCATCAATGTTAGACAAACAGCAATGCGACTTCTCATTTAATTATTATTAGTAATATTCAAGTGAGAGGGATGGGATTATTACAATTAAAAAAAGAAAATGATAATTATATAGAGAAAGTATTTATTTTGACGGTGTCCAGTGCGACCTTGCCACTTTGAAAACACTGGAAGTTAATGGCAGAATAATTTTTGAGCTTTCTGTATTGCTGCGGTCTTTTTTCATCAACCAAAGCTTTTAAAGGTTCAATCTCTACTTCTGAATTGGGCAAGTGAAAAATTGCTAGGGATATTCTATCCTTCTCTGAACTTGTATATCTCTTTCTCTGAACTAAGTGATAACCACTACTGTCAATGGGCCTCTTGAAAGATATCCAGATTGCGGCATTCTACTGCATTTAGTTATGAGTATTTATGCTCCAATAAAATTACGAAAGAATATATTTAAGCAGCGAAAAAATAGAAACATATGACACACAGATATTTACGTGGTTCAGCTCAACTGTTTTAGGGCTACGTCACGGGACAAACTTCCGAAATGCATTTCTTCCAACTATTTAAAATAGTAGGTACACAAAGAGAGTAATCAAAGAATAGTGACAACGAACACAAAGTGGTTTCCAAAAAACACCCTCATCAAAATTTTTTCACTATATTCCTGCTACCCTTAGATTTGTTTCCCAAAAACACCTCATAATAATTTTTTCACTATTTTCTCTCCCTTAGTTTTAGGAAACCCTTCCTAAAACTAGATAACTAACTCGCTACATTTTTTCTCTTTGTTCTGTGTGTATTGAGATGGCTGAGCCATCTCCTATTTATAGGAGAGGGTGGACGCGTTAATTACGCGTCCACCGAATCCTAACGCGTCCACCGAAAATAAATTTTCCTCTTCCTTTTTCAACTACGTGTGGGTCCTACCACGTTTTCCATTTCTTTTTTTTTTTCAAATGTGGATCCCATTTGAGTGGGCACCGCACAACAATTTAATTGTCCATAATCCATATTAGTCTTTAATTCTAATTCATATGTACCATAATGAAATGACATATTATTTCAAGTTTCAACTATTTTAAGATGTAACACGAATAATCAAGTCGATCAAATTTTAATTTTTATGCTTGTGTTTTGCCTTATATATATACTTGAAATACTTATGCTCAAATCAGTTATCATTAAATATTTAAACTAATCGACTTATTATCTATTAATATTAAAATAAAGTTTGAATAAAATTTAACTGTAAATTTTAGTTAATTTAATATATTTAAAATCTAAACACTCAGTTGTAATTTTAGAACCATAGAAATTATTTTAGTAGTAATTATTTTTTTAGTTATTACAATTATTAGATGTATATAAATTGTTCTATACTGAATTTATGGGTAAGAGTTTTAGTCGTGTAGGGTCAAACCAACGAGAAATTATACATATAAATCTTGGGAAGAAAACAAATTAGGATTACCTGGCTGAGATTAAAAAAATAAAACCCTAAGATTCATGATTCAATCATTTATTTATATTAATTTTAGAGAAGGATTAGTTGTCGTCATCCATAGTAGGTATAAGATTTTTAATTAAGTAGTTAATTAATTACCTGCATTTGATCGCCGGCATTGACAACAAAAGCGTGAGGAATGATGGGAACTCTATGCCATTGATCATCTTTGAACATTTGAAGACCTTCTACTTCTTTATCTTGTAAAAGAAACGTTATTGCTGATCCATCTGAATGTGCTTTAACACCAAGAACTGAGTCTGGTCTTGGACATGTAGGATAGTAATTAAATCTAGCTAACATTCAGGGAACATTGATGTTTTAAAAACAAAAACGGTATGAAGGAAAGATTGGGAACTTCTATGCAATGATAGATCATTTGAACATTTGAAAACCTTCTTAATAACTTCTTTATCTTGTAAAAGAAACGTATTGCTGATCTCTGAATGTGCTTTAAACACCAAGAACTGAGTCTGGTTGGACATGTGAATAGAAATTTAAATCTAGCTGCCACACCTGGTATCATATTGTTTCAACGAAGCTATCTTCTTCTAAAATTCAATGATCTTGCCAGTTTGTTTAAGAAGAAGCTCCACTCGTTGTTTCTTCATTTTTACTGACATTCATTGAAATAGCCCAGTATTTCTCTGCAAAGAACAATTAATTTCTTGAAAAGAATATAAGACAAAGAAACTATTGAAGATCGATAATATCGTGAAAAATGAAATATAAAGAAAACGCTGCTAATAAAGGTAACGAATATACTGATTAGGAGATATGGAGTGTGAAATGTTACATGTAAGTAATTTCAGAGTGTAGAGGATGTTAGGGGAGGAGTAGGTATGCCGAATCGGAGGATGAAAAGCTATTCTTATGAAATGATATTTTATTAGGGTAATCAGTTTAAAGAAAGAGACGAAAGATATGAAATCAGGCGATTGAATCCAAAATGGTAAAGCTTTGCTTAATGATAGAGAGTTATCGCAGAGAAGGGAACTGGGTCATCCCCATACTCCTTCCCCATAAATTGTTGACTTTCTCTTAAACTCGTATTCTTTTTGGTCAAACTTGCTGGAATGGCAGAAAGAAACGTTGCAACACGTATTTTGTCAAGAAAGAATTATGAAATCCCTAGTTGATTAGAACATTTAATATGTCTAGTAAAAAAAACAAGAAATTTCTCCCCCAAAACGAATTTAAAATACACAAGTTCATTGGAGAATTACAAAAAAAATATTTTGTATATGTGTAAAATGTAAAATTGTAAAATAGGAAAATCAGAAAATACAATGTTATACATCGTGGAAGCGAATGCGCCGATAGAAGTTAGGGGGGTCTGTCCCTTTATTTAGATGGTTATTCCTGAAGCTGCTATATCAATTCCTTCTTAATGAGAAAGATGAATGATAGTTCAGACAACGAGATATTTTATGCACTTAGAGTAATTTGAGGGAGTAATGGAAAGGTAGAAATAGGGTTTGGGATTAAGGTTCTTCGATTAATAGCTATTACTGGAGGTGGTTAGACCCCTATAAAATTCTGAGATAATTCTTTGAGTAGTAGCCAAATAGTACTAGTAGAGGGGGAGAGAATCTTAATTATAATGACTAACTCAGTGTTAAAATATTTATAGTATGAATGAATCATAGAGCTCAGCTAGATAGATTAAATAAGTCTAGAATTATAATTTGGGAAATGCAGTTGAAAAGTAATGCAAAGAACTAGAGAGATGACGAATATTTAGGTGATGTATGTAATAGTATCTATGCATTTTGAGGTTATGCCCTCGAAAATCTTATATAATCGTACGTATCTAAATTCCCTGTTTTATAATTTAATCCCATATACTCAGAACAAACGACTATTGGAGTTTTTAAGAACATCTTAATGTCTGGAAATGAATTTAGTCGGATTTCTTCTCACCGAAAAGTGCCTACGCAGGCGGGTAAGAACATTAAGAGACATAACTAAAATAGATCTCGTCAAAATGTTATAAATCTCAAATTGAACTAGCAAAATTCAATGGTTCTAGTTTTAACATGATAAATTGCCTAGAGGACCACATAAAGAATAATGACCCTTCAAGCAAATTACATTCACTTAGGCTAATATAATTTGTTCTTTACCAGTGCGGCTGGTGGTGGGTCCTAATGGGATAAGGTGTCTTGGATAATGAAATTGTATTAATAAATTGGACATAATTTGTATAAAATGATGTCTGTAGTAACATTTGATTTTTTGCAACTTTAGTAGTCTCAGATAGTTACTCCGTCTATAGTCTAATTAATGGGAGTATATGTCAAAAGTGACTAACCAAGTTGGAGGGTCGACGCAGGACCAAAGTTTGCACATAAATATTTATTATTTCTTAAAAGTATGGTATGTGGACAATACCTAGATAGCATATTCTTGATTCCTATTTTTTTTATTTTGTTGATAGTTGTTGTAGAGTGTATGTGTAGTGTTGGTAATTGACCATAAATATTTGTCCATTTGTAATTCAGTGTGAGAGCGAGTGTATGCATAGGTCATTTAATGTAAGATTCTAATTGCCTATTTAGTGAAATGACTAAAGTATGCTTATATAAATTACGGGTTTTACGACTTCTATCTGATTATGCATATGATTTTCTCGAGACATTTTTTATTGGTTTAAGCATTGGGGTCTTGGTCATTCATGTGCTGTTAATATATGTGCTTTATCTGGTGATGTTATTAAATATATAGTTCATGTGTCCACACTCTGGATTTATCATAATGCGATGTATGACAGCTATTGGGAAATTGTCAGAAGCGGGGATGAAGTTGGGTGTGCTGATGCTTTTCCTGCAATTTAATGAATATCATGGTTTTTGTTTTAATCTGATACTGCCATAATTTTGTTATTGATTTGATCTAAAATTTTTCCAAGTTTGTTAGTGGCTAGTCAACACTATAGATAATGCCCATCTGCTTATATGTATTTTTTGCTAATGGATAGCTTTAATTAGTTGTCACGGATTCTAATGTGTATGGGTGTCTAGGTACCATCTTCTTGACCACTACTTTAGCATGGAGTGCTATAGAGATACACATTGAATCACCAATCCTTCACTTAGGATGAGCCAAAATTGAAGGGGATGATTTAATAAATTATTTGGAATCTTTACGTTGCGACCCCACGTTGCACGGGAGTTAGTTGTAGCATGACCATAGAGGTATTTGCCTACTTTATAGAGAATAAAATTTAGAACCGAGAAAGAAACTTATAGGTTGTTTTTTTCTCGCTATTTGCATCTGTATAGGAAACGAATTTTTTCTCTATTTTTCCTTTATTATATTGAATATGTTTTTTTTGGTGTTTTCGTTTAATAAAACCAGAAATATTAGATATTGCGATTTGCTAGATTACCCTCCCAAAATCATTAATCTTGCATGTCATCTAAACACAACAATTATTAAGACAACACATAATAAAAAGATTAAGAGATTTCTATGGAAATTTAATGTTTGAGAACCAAAGTCAAGCGGCTGTCAGTTCGCTATGAAAAGCCGATAATCAATATAATAGAATCCCAGCGGAATATTATATCTTGAGCTCTCATTATTTTTCGCTCTTTGGAGTGCAATAATTTTCAATCCATTCGCTTCTGATTTTTTTTTTTTTTTTTTTTTTTTTAAAAAAAAATTTTGTTCATGATATTTTTTGACTGGAAGCGGTTATTTCTTTGGTCAATTGAAATTCTTAGTAACTATAAATGATCTACAGATGTTGGTTGGAGCAGTATCTTCTCTGTTTTTGCTGTATGCCCCATCAATTGTAGGCCTTCCTGGGGTTTGGTCGGGCTTGGCTCTCTTCATGGGCTTGCGCACAACTGCAGGATACTTTAGGTAGGTTGAACAGTATAGTATTAATTTTCTTGTTTCCATAAGCTAAATCTGTGATTGTGGATAACTGTTGCATCTCATCCTTAATATGGGTTAATTACTGATGTTTAATTTCTTGATTTCTATATGTCTGTAATTTGGGCGTTAAATGCAAGTCTTTTAAGCAAAGAAACTTGGTTCAATGATTGGAGATTGACCTCTGAAAAGACAGCTCTCTCTCTCTCTCTCTCTCTCTCTCTCTCTCTCTGTGCGTGTATAAATTCATAATGAACTAACCTTAAAATTAGGAAGCATGAACCTAAATACAAGAAATTGAATGGTTTTTAAATATTGAATTATATACTTGTCAAAATCATATAAAATAAATTGCAACATTGAACTAGTTTGTATTTGTTAATTAATTTCTAATTGTTTATGTTTATAGGTTGCTTCTCAGATTGAGTCCTTTATCCAATGCTTGAACCTAAAATCATCTAATTTTAAATCCGTTCTCATACTTTTGAACTGAAAATGTAAGATATTTGAAAGATATACTGAATCCCAAAGGCTAGACAACAATCTAGACAATGCTTTTGCAATTTTATGTTTGTATTTTACTACTTCATCTATTCATTAAATTTTCAGGTTAAAATCAAAATCTGGCCCATGGTGGTTTCTGCACAAGGACTTGCAGAGTGTTCAGGTTGGTCAATGAGTTCGACAAATTTTTAGTATTTAGCATTATGAAATTTATATTATAATATTTGTTGTTAACAAATTTCATTGAGCTCCTACTGGAACTTCGAGTTCTACTTTAACATCGTTATACCCGCTCCATTTTCCTCGTTCTGTCCCTCCTTCCTATTCGTTGTTTTGAAATAGTTGCATAATTCCTTAGTTTCATAATGTTTTCATAACAGCAGAACGATAGTTAGACTAAAATTTCCAGGAATTCATAATTAACATATAAATTGCTTTAGGCTTATATGTAGTGTTAACAAGAAGCTATAAACTAGTATTAAAATCAGATTATACCCATAATTTCACCATACTTCACTTCTGCTCATAACTGAGCCATGCTTAGTTGAATTCGAGCTAAACCCATTCTTCTACTTAACTCCGCTAGTAAACTTGTTGTACGAGCAGGCTTGTAACATAAAACAAACAATACAAATTTTCCTCTGAAAACTGAATAATTAAAAAGCATCTAAAGAAATTATCAATCTTCAACAGATTATAAGCATTTTCTGAAAATAAGAGAAGTACCGGCTTCTAGGATATGCTTGTAGAGATGGTGAGGGAACTTCACTGAGAAACAATTCGTAACTCAGATTTCACTATTTCTTGCATCTCACTATTGGAGAAAGGAAGATAGACAAAATAAACCAAGACCTAAAACAGCTAGGAAAAGCTGAAAACTGCAGAATTTCTTTTTTCCTCTTGCTTCTTCATTTTCAACAAAATGTTTTTAACACAATGAAACTTCCTCTCATACTCAAATCTCCACATTCTCTCAACGTGATCTCTGGTTACTGGGGCTTACTTATACTGGACAATAGCTTGCTTAAATCTTTAGGCAATGATATACTTCCACTACAGCTTGCTTCCAATACCTGATTACTTAAAAGCTGATTAACGAAATCTACATCATTCTTCTTGTCCTAACTTTCTATTTAGATCAAGCTAAGCCACAAAATTTAAACACCTAGCTAGATATATCCAGAAGTAAAAAAAAAAAAAATAATAAAATAAAAAAAAAAATAATAAAAAAAATCTAAAACTAAGCCTCTGTAAATTCTTTAATATATATGTATCTATCTGTGTCCGTTTGAGTTATTTGTTTCTATGTATTGTTTTTCCAGCTTGCCAATTGACAATGAATGATCCCGAATCAATTGCTGGACAGTTGGGAGTATTGCACATACAGGCAGATTGAGAAAGCTTAGAGCAATTCATTCTCATAGGGTGGCTGATAATTTTGGTTATCAGCATGGAGACCTTCCTCATTTTTTTTAAACAATCATCATTTTATTAATCTATGATTTTTTTTTGATTATCTTTTTCATCAAATATATTGATTCAGCAGTAAATTGTGCATTTAATTTTTTTCCTTTTGTTATGCATTGAAATTGTTCATTTTTTTGAACAGTTAATAATCATTTCCAGTTGTTGAGCAAGCTTGCGTAATTTCTTCTTTGTTACTGCTTAAGCAATATGAGCATGAAAGATCAGCAGAATTTTAGCTATACTCTTTCTTAATAGAAGGTAGAAACATCTTCTAATGCTGCCAATGATTTTATTGATGAGACTCTCGTTCGCTTGTATTTCTTATATCTGGAAGTTAATCATGCAATTACAGATATAATGGTTCTGATGATAAACTTGAATATTTATTGCAGCTAGCAATAGCATGACAAATAAGCTTCACTGAGATGAAGCATAGTCCATAGGACCATAAGGCTCAAACAGTTCAGCAAGAAGTCCCTTCTTTCTTTTAGTGTTCCAACCCATGTCCTTACATAACTGGTCATTATACCATATATGAAGAGCACCAATGCATGATCTTCTATATTGTCCACCTGAGTATCGCTTCATGTAATTGTTCCATTTCCCCACATCTTCCTCCATCTCTTTGATGCTAGGTAGTTTGAATGTACCATCAAGAAGTTCAGCTAGCCATCGGCATCTAATCTCCGAGGTATATAAATTTGCAATACTTTCTGAGAATCCGATTACTGCGATCTGTTTACTATCACTAGTTAAATCGTAGTTCTGTAAGTCAATTTGAGTTAGAGTGTGTCCATTGTGGATTTTGAATATACGTACAAAATTGTCTACTTAAGTCCTCTGTAGATTGATTATTGCATTAAATCAGTTTTTCATAACAGCAGAACATCTGTATAGTGTACATGTATTTCCCTTTGGTCATTCGACAAAAATTTTCCAGGAATTCATAATTAACAATATACCCTAAGTTTTGGGCTTTAGGCTTATTGTTAATTCATGTAGTAGTTTTTTATGACAAGCCAAGTTGGGTTTTCACATTATCAAACCTATGTTATTAATTATCATAATCTTAGAGATAAGGAACCACAAGTCGAGTAACAACTTAAGCCAAAATATCATCAATATTACCTAACTAATATATAATCCACAACATAACTAACTTTTTTATAATGAACTTTTGATTAAATTCAACAAAAAATTTAAAAAAAATAAATTTCATATGAGTCCATAAGGGAAAAAAAATTCCAAAGCCAGAATTGGACTTTAATTTAGTTTTGAAAATTGAATTCAAGAGATGCTATATTGGTTAAATGTTAGACGGCATTCTTCTACTTACTCCGCTAAGTCCAGCTACTTCTGCAAAGTTTATAAACTTCCGCGTTAGTCACATGCGAGCGAAGAATGTATTAATAAGACTTTCAAACCTGAACCTTAAACAGAGTAATTTAAAGTCTTATTTCCACAGAATCCTCAAATTCGATCCGACAATTTATCCTCTATCGCAAAACTAAAAGACCATTTTGTAAGATAATTAAAATACCAATAAGAATTAGAAAATGAAAACCACCATAAAATAATCTTTACATTATATGGAATAATTAATTAGGAGCCCCACTAGTATCTCAATCTCCATTCAACCAACAGATTATATTCCAACAGGTTCCCAATCTCTTTTTCTGGCTCTGGGGTTCAATGAAATATAGGCGCATACCTCAACTCCTCGGAGGTCAATTTGTTTAATTCCTCTGAAAATAAGAGAAGTAACCACCCCTGTGCATTGGACTTCTTGAAAATATTCCATTACTCACTAATCTCTGCAAGATTTGAAGGTTCCAATAATATATGTTAAAAACACAAAGAAGTAATAAAATCCAGGAACCAGAAATTGTGAAAAACGTTACTGATGAGGCGTATACCTGCATTTGGGTCCTCTTCAAGATGACGACAGCTAGAGCTATTCAGAGATTAAAAGGGAACTCGTGTACCCCTTTCTCATCAAACTAAAATTGAAGGGGCCTTCGACTTGTTTATCTTGGCAAAGAATTGTACATGCCCTGATCTATCTGTATGAAGGTTTGACTCCAGAGAAACCAAATGCAGGTTTCGAACACCTTGGATAGGAAGATTAAAACCTAGAGCCAATAGTGCTCGTTCCCGACAATTGCGCAGAGCAACTATTGCTCTTTCAAGTTCAGTGGACTTTTGAACATTCCTATTGTACAGAAGATGCCATTACATGATTTCACCTTAGAAGGAATATTCAATTCAAGGTGGTTTTTTTCAAAAGATGATAATATTAATGTAAAGTGATTGATAGTGGATACTGAAAACCTGACATAACATTTAAACAAATTGATATTGATGTTTTCATAAGTTTTTTAATATGGGGTTACTATAAGGTGTGGTGTAGTGTCCGGGACTAACATAAAGAAATTTAGAGAAATGTAGAAATTCAAATCGTTATTATTCTTTAAAACTGAAAAAATTAAGAATAATTATTCATAGAATTATTGTAAAAATATTTTATTTGAATCTGTAAATAATTGGCAAATTGAATCTGTAATTTTTCATGCACACGGAAAATTAAGATATAACTAATATAGGGAAATATGTAAACAACTAAGAAAAAAAAATTTTTCATTCAATTTAGGATATAAAATTAAATCAGAACTTAGGTAAATTCAAGAAATAAATCCAGATATAAAAGGAGTTGAATATCAACGTGCAATGCAGAAAAATAACATACAAAACATCATTCGGTCTTTTTTCACCTCTTGGATTCTTCTTCATTTTCAATGTTTGTAAAAGGAAGTTTTCAATTCTAAAACCATAAGCCATTTCTCCTGAAACCACTTTATTTCCATTAAGGGGAGACAAATCTATATTATCCTTCTGAAGCTGGTCACATAAATTTATCACTCAAAAATAAAGTTGCCCTTATTAATTGATAATATGAGTCAGCTATTCGACACAATTTCTTTCTCATGGCCATTTAATTTGGGCCCTCTGATTAAAAAAAAATCTTCAATCTTGTGATGTTAGCTATCTCTGATGTATAACTAATGAAAATGGGCCAAGCAGGATATAATCGGTTTTAGCTATACTACTGCCATTGACCCATTTATGAAGAGAGCAAAGTTAATCAAACCAATGCTCTTATAATTCTATATAAGTCTAAATGATCAATAAAGCACAACTGACTCGTGGACAACAAATCACTTCTCAATTCTGGTATGCTAGACAAGAACGATGTGCATAGAACTAGCTTCCATATAACTCTATCCTTTGACCTAGTCTTTCGAGAGTAAGCTGATTAAGCGAAATCTAACAACAAAGATATTCCACTTTTTGGTTTGTCCCCATATATGCTATCCACCTTTTTTTTTTTTTTTTTTTTTTCTTTTCTTTTGGGTATTATGATCGTTTAACTAAACTATATTTGCGGGGTCTATTATTATTAATAGATTTAATCTAATTATTGTTATAGTTTTATCTTAGTCATCGACACCAAAATTTAACCACTACTATTAATCTTTTTATTACTAGCCTAGATAATATATATTGATTTAATTTCGACCGGATATAATTTATGAAAAGACATTAAAAAGGAAAAAACAATTATGGAGTTAAGTAATAATCTTTATTTTCTTAATCTAAAAAAAAAATTGAAATACAGAGATAGGAATTCATAATAATTTCATAGTGAAGCACCTGGAATGTATGATCAAGTATTATATGTATTGCCTCTTTGCTATTAAACCTATTGAACAATGGTATTTGGATAAATTCCAATAAAATATAATGTGAACAACATAGGTTGGGTCTCAACTGTCGGTCTTCAAACAAGTTATTTTGTTTCTTATGTATATTAAATTAAGTTTAAATTAAATTTTCAACCACGCTTTAAACGTTGCCATACAATATTGACAAATGAAGTTCAAATTAAAAAATAACCACAAGAATCAAAATTGCTTAAGGTACAGGTTGCATGGTCCCGAAGTATAAATAAGTCAAATTTTCTAATTTTATTCATCGGAAGCAAAGATTATTAATCGAGAGTAAAGCTTAGAGTCAAATTAACAATTTTTTATACTTATCCATAGGGTGGCTGATAATTTTTGGTAAACTCAGGCAGGATAATGATCGAGACTTAACTATCCTCAGGTGTATTTTGTATTTTGGAAACATCAGATTCCACATATACATCTCATACTCAAACTATAGCTAACTTATGATTTTCTTCATTTAATGCACCGTAATGGTACGTCTTGTGTATTTTCATCCCCGGGTTCAATATTTATATAGTTTTTTGGTTATTAACTCGTAATTCGTGTCTGAACCATAGACATCTTAGAGACCGCCTTCTCCATACCCTACAAGAGAGTTCAAAGAGGTCCTGAAGTGACATTAAAATTTTTTTACACACTTTTGTTTATGCATTTGAAATTGTTCTCAGCAAGCTTCTCCCATTGGGACTTTATTCTGAACAGTTATATCTACATGTCATCCTCGGGTCCAGTTGGTGTTAGAGCTTTTCACCAATGCGGTTTTTCTCTTTTCATGTTGTCTAATTACTATCAGCACTATCAGACCGTTAATTTCGTTTTCTCTTTGTTTATCGTTCCCTTATTTTCCTGGGCTACCTAAAGTAACAATAAATGATAGTCTATATGAGAGGAGTTGGTTAAAAGAATCTACGCCATATTGACACAAGAAATTTTAAGCTATACTCTTACTGGGTGGGCTTCTTCTTATTAACATAGAAGGTGGGTTAGATAACATACATATGATCCGAAATCAGGGTGTCTATGCTAGCAATTAATATCTAAGGCAAATGGAACCAAAATAACCAATAAATTGCACAAAATTAGTAATATATTGATGAGACAACCCTTCTTTTTGATCTTTCCATGCTGGCCTCGTTTAAACCACTACTCGGCCCACCATCAAAGAAATGGGGGTATTGTACCTCTTCTTATATCAAGGAAAGCATCTTAATCATCGGCAATTTTACCAGATGATAAAATTGGTTCTGATGATAAAACCTTGTGAAAATATTTTATTGCAGCTGCAGCAATAGTCAATGGACAAATAAGCTTCAGCTGAGATGGAAGCATAGTCCATAGGACATAAGGCTTCAACAGTTTCAGCAAGAAGTCCCTTCTTTCTTTTAAGTGTTCACCATGTCCTTTAACATAACTAGGTCAATTAATAACCATATATGAAGAGCAACTGACCAATCATGATCTTTCTATATTGTCGCACGACACTATCTAGAGTTACTCCGCTTGCATGTAATTGGTTCCATTATTCACTCCTGACTGGCTTACTATTCCACAGGAATCTCTAAGCGATACCCATAAGGTCAGTATTAGCGCCTTTGTATATGCTGATTGAGGTAGATGGTATTGAATGTACACTCCAACATCCGGACATTTTACATAACTGGTCATTATACCATATATGAAGAGCACCAATGCATGATCTTCTATATTGTCCACCTGAGTATCGCTTCATGTAATTGTTCCATTTCCCCACATCTTCCTCCATCTCTTTGATGCTAGGTAGTTTGAATGTACCATCAAGAAGTTCAGCTAGCCATCGGCATCTAATCTCCGAGGTATATAAATTTGCAATACTTTCTGAGAATCCGATTACTGCGACTTGCGGAATTCGGGGTTGAATGCATTCCCTGTTATCATAGGTATCATGTCAATCTCTCATTAACAAGAAACTTTGTTCAATAAGACTTAGAAAACTATAGTTTTGGTGAAGGAAGAGAGATTCTTTTATCGCTTTCTGAATCGTGATTTTCCAGCAGTTAAAACATAAAATAAAATGCAGTTCTGAAAAGAAGATCCAAACTTAATATGGATACTGCATTTATAAAACAAAGGTTTTAGTTAAACACCAACCTGTACAATGGAACTGTTGAGTTTGGGGATCCTGCTATGAGATCTTGAAAGGTTTTAGATGCGAAGATCTCCTTGAGTTTTGTGTCTCCTCTGAATCCTGTTGCCAATATAACTAAATCAATCTTTAGAGGAGACGGCTCACCATCAACACAAACCCCATCTTTGAAGAATCTAATGTTGCGTGATTTCTTCAAAATGATGCTTCCCTCTTCCACTTTCTTGTAGAAATTTTCTGGTATTGTTGAGACCAAACAAGAACTAATTTGTTGAAGAAAGCTTTGTTTAGGTACCATTCCAAACTTGGCCAAAGGAAGCTTCCACTTGATATAACTTTCAACAAATTTAGAAAATATCCATCTCTGATAGAAAATGATTGCAGATAAAGATTATTTCCAATCAGTTACCAATAATGCAAGAAAAGCAAAAGTTGAAACGCTACCACGGGTGAAAGAAATGTTGCTAATATATAATGAAAGAAGCTTTCTCCAGGTTTGTGAACCAAAAGCTCTGCGAATCGATTAAGATACAGATAAGCAAGAGGCACTCCCCAAGGAAGGTAATCGGGGAGGGTCCAATGTTCAGTCTTGTATAACAAAGTACAAGGAAGTTCCACTCCTGGAAAATATTATGTGAGAAGAAATTTATTAATATTCTTTTTGTGGGTTTAATGGAAAACTTAAGAGATAGTTAATTACCATTTGCTGATGCACATTCCATTGCTATGTCCAGTGCAGATTTTTGGAGGCCAACAACCATTATTCGCTTCCCTCTGATGAAATTTGCTGCAGTTTCATGGTCCATCGCAGCATAGTCCATGGAGTGTACTACCTCCCCTTCAAATGCTTCAGGTCCCTCATCCAGTGGAAACTCTGGAATGTTAGGAACATCGCTGAACCGTCCTAATCCAAGAATTATAAAGTCCACTTGGTAAACCTGCATTTGGAAGAACCATTTCAGTTTCTGCAACTTCTTCAATATAACTCTATATTAGTTTGTTTAACTGTTTGAATTAACTGCTCTCTTAATTAATATCCTAAGGGCATTCATTAGAAAAACCAATAGTATTATCTATAGGTACCTCAATTGAAAGGCTCTGGGTGTCCTCTACTGTGACGTTCCATTTCCCTTTTGAACTAAAAGGATCACCAGTGCCACCCCAAAGTTCCCAGGATTCCATCTCTTCCTCAGAAACTCCCTCATAGCTTACACTGACAACTTTAGTATTGAATTTGATGTGTCGTAGCAAGTCGACATGGCGAGCATATGATTGAAGATAGTCCAAGACTTTATCTTGGTTAGGGAAATCTTCTGTGACTGAAGATGGCCAAGGAAAATCTGAAAACTGATAGAGTGCTTTTGGAGTCTGGAGCTTCGTAGTCTCAAATGTTTTAGTCCACACTCCTCCAATACTGTTCTGCAACTCGAATACAATCGGGTGGTAACCCTTTGACAGAGTATATTTACAGGCAAGGAGACCACTAATGCCTGCTCCAATGGTTCCTACTTGCCTTCCCATTTCTGAGGAACTGCTAATCAGCTTCTCTGAGCTTTTCTCAAGCTCTAAACGACCGATTTGATGCTTCGGCAGTGGGGCTACACTTTATGCTATATCCATAAACACTCCAGAAGAATCTATTTGATGGCTAACAGTGAAAAGGACTATTCGATGTTATATTTTTCAAAGATAAAGCCATTTGGTCAAGAGAAATCTATCCTCCTTTTCGTTATCTTTTTTGGCTGTGTTTGGTTTGATAGGTTTATGCTTTCAAGGATGTATTTTCCGTTTTCCTTATACGACAAGTCTGTGTATTATGAATGAATTGATTAGTTATGGTTTCCCATTTCTTGTGAAGTCATTGGTTTCCGTTTTAAATTGTTAGATATTGGCGAAAATAGTAATGAATAAAAAATCAAGATCCACATTGCATGATACAAAGTCTAAAACTATTATAAATTATAATTTCACACGTAAAAGTTCAAATCTAAATTTTCATTTGACTATATATTTAAATCGACTCTAACTTTATTAATTTTTAAAAAAATTCATTTCAAAAGGACCTATCTCATTTGAAATTAGCTAAAGCTTCTTTTATTTAGGTACACCGACACTCCAATTCAAAATTAATTACCAACAAAATAGTTAGAATCAAATATAATCCATATTACTTAAATTTCAGTTCCAAAATAGGGTTACTTTTGAAATTTTACAATTTGAGATGTAAACTCGGCTAAGAACCAAAAGTTAAGGATAAAAAAGAACAAGGTTGGACATTCAATCTAATCTGGCAGATTTGAAAATATAATGGATTGAATTGGACGAATCATTTTTATAATTCATGGATTCACTAGGTATATCCATAGACTTAACCCAATCCGTATCATAAAATATTTTAGATTATAGGCATGATATTAGTGTCGAGTGGGTTTGGAAACAAGCTAACATGGATGCTCACACTCTTGCTAGAGCATCTATACGACATGCTTGTCTTCAGATTTGGGGTGATATTCCGTCTTGTTTGTTAAACTTTTTCCATTGAGGTATTGCTGTATTATTTCATTTAAAAAAATTATAAAGTATCTTAGTTAATTTAATTTAGTTTATAATTTTAAATATAAATACTAAATTATTTAAATATTTAATAGGCCTTCTCTTTGAAATTATTTTCTTTAATATAAATTTATTTTGCAATATGCTAATGCAACATATTATAGTTCAAAATTTCTAATATAATTATGTTACTAATTTTTTTTTAAATTTGATTGGTTATATTTCTTATTAGAAAATTTAATTTTCAAATATATGCATTAATGCAACATATTATAGTTCAAAAATTTTCTAATATAATTATGTACTATTTTTTTTTCAAATTTGCATTGGTTTATATTCTTATTTAGAAAATTTAATTTTCAATATTGTTGCTTTTTAATTATTATTAATTATTATTATTATTTATTATTATTATTGTTATTGTTATTAAAAAATTTTTAAATGTTGTGATTAGAATATTTTGCAGTTTGTAAAAATTGTTGTATAATTATATTTCAAGTATATCTAATTTTGTTAGGTATTTCTTTTCAATAGTTATATTTTATTTTGACCTACAGATTTACATTAGACCTGTACTCAATCCATTCATAACCTGCGGATTCACGCAATTGATGAGTTGGATTGAATTAAAAAAATCAGTGATTCACATATACAGGTTAGGTTCTTTAAATCACGCAATTGATGAGTTGGATTGAATTAAAAAAATCAGTGATTCACATATACAGGTTAGGTTCTTTAAATCACGCAATTGATGAGTTGGATTGAATTAAAAAAATCAGTGATTCACATATACAGGTTAGGTTCTTTAAATCACGCAATTGATGAGTTGGATTGAATTAAAAAAATCAGTGATTCACATATACAGGTTAGGTTCTTTAAATCACGCAATTGATGAGTTGGATTGAATTAAAAAAATCAGTGATTCACATATACAGGTTAGGTTCTTTAAATCGATTGAATTAAAAAAATCAGTGATTCACATATACAGGTTAGGTTCTTTAAATCGACAAATTCAACCCAATCTGACCAACGTGCAGCCTTAATAACATATATACCTAGAGCAATCCTAATCAATGATGACTTGTTGCTTGTTCCTTTTATGCCTTGTTGCGTGAGGCCGAAAGATATATATGCTTTAGAATGGTTGATTACATAAATTTATTAATGTGCTTTTCACAAAAAAAATCTTGTGGCACTCTCAACTTTTGTTTGTCCCGTTGAACATTTCAACTTATAAAATTATAAATGTTAAATACTTTATTTTACCTATTGAATACTTCAACTTATAAAATTAGACCAATTGACCACTTATTGAAAATTTAAAATGTAAAATAATTGTTCCAAAAGTTATATTAACCACATATCAAATCAATATTTTGCATATAAAAGCCAAAAAAAAAACTTAAAATTTACTATTTTAATGTAAAGAGGTGTGAAATTATTTTAAAAAATAAAATTCAGGATGCCACAAAATTGATTTTATAATTCAACGTGCTACAAAGTTTTTTTTTGTCAAAGTTTAGGGATTAAATGATATATTTGGTTGTTTTAGATTACAAAATTTTATGCACATGAAACAGATATAAAGTTGGCCAAAATTTAATCAAAGTATAAACCATGGTTTAATACAGTATTACCTCTCTTATTGCTTTTCTGAAACGTGCTTTTCTGAAACGTCGTATCTAAACGCGATGAATATGCGTATCAAAATATTAAAATTAGCGAATAGAGTGAATTGATTGTTATATAACACTTACAGTCAATTTTTTTTTTTTTTTAAATTTTTCCAGGTCTTAAACTTTTAAATCTTTTGAATCAAGGGAGAAGGTCCATTGGGGCCCAAAGGGCCCTGGCCTTCCAAAAAACAAAGTTAAAAAAAAAGTTTTTGTTATAAAGATTACATTTTAATCCTTTAAAATATAGAAACCCCCTAAAAGTCTAAAAAAAATTTATTTGGCTCCTTCAAAATAATTATGGCTCCACCCCTATTTCAAACTACAGTAATTAGTGCTAAGGAAGGTTACAACCATTAAAGAAACTTAAGCTAAAAAGGACCTGGTCTGTCAGCTTCCGCAAGCCAACAGCAGAAGTTAAACAATTTATAGTTTTTAAGTTTACCAAATAGTTAAAAAATTATTCTATTTAATAAAATAAGCTATCAATTATATTATTTCTCATGCATTTCAAAGTGAATTTAAAAATTTTTTTTTTATCAAAGTGAGTACCCATATAGCTTATCCCACATCACAAATTTACAAAGTGCGGTATCCTGTATTCATACTGTGTACTCTGACGAACTATGCATGTAGCACTCAGAAAAGAAACTCTAATGTCACCATAGAAATAGGCAACCTGCATATCTTCAAGGCGGCGAAACGTAATCCATAAGACCGTAAGGTTGGAAAGTTAAAGCAATAAATCCTTTCTTGCTATAATATGGTACTGAATATCTTTTCTTATGCTGGTTCCATTTTTCCACATCCTTTTCCATATCTGTATTAGTTGGTATCTTCAAGAAGCTCAGGTAGCCATCAACATCTTATTTCTGAGGCCCACAAGTTTTAAATACGCAAAACAAATTTAAAATGGTATTGAATTTTTTTAATTTTTCATAATTTAACAAAGTACAATTATCTCAAATTTCTAGAGAAGTTTTGTTATCATCTAAATATCATTATTCAATGTTTTCAAAATTATTTTCTTGAAAATACACTTTCCTAAGAATATGAAGATCATAAACAAAATATATGCTACCTATGTACCCTGTTTTTGTTAATTTATTTATTATGGTGAAGACATACAAATGAGCGGGTATTGGATTGACTACAAGTGAATTAATTCTATATTAAATTAAATGTTGATTTAATATCATATATCTCTTCTTATAGTAGTCCCATGAAATTTCCTAATGAATAAAAAAAAAATGTAAAGATTATATTATTGAGATTTTTTTCTTAGTATGAACTACTGTTATCTCCGGGTCACTAGCTGAGTTTAAATCCTACCTTCGCTGGATTGCTCGTAAAGAGTAAATTACTCTCAGTGAATATTTGCTCTATTCATGAGTATGAAATTTAACGCCACTTAAAAGAGAAGAGTATCGAACTATGTATCCCCACACACTGGTTGATTAATAATATTGAGATGTAAATCTTAATGTTTATTATTTTTAAAATATTCTATTGCCTAATATTTATGCAAAAAATTAAGAGCTTATCCTTAATGGCTCTCTTATTTTAAAAAATTGTGAGCATAATTTAATGGACTAAGAAAAACTTATCGTAATTTTTATTCTTTTTTCAATAAATAATGTAAAGTAAAAACACTAAAAAAATAAATATGAAATTTAAATACCAATATTTAGAATATAAGAAAGGAAAACGAAAGCTAACCTGTAGAGAGGAACTGCTGCATTGGAGGTCCCAACTAGCAATTCTCGAAAGGTTTTGGAGACCAACATGTCTTTTACCTTTTTGTCTCATTTAAATCCTGTGGCCAAAATGACAAGACCAGTCTCTAGAGGTTGATCCCGACCGTCAATATTAATGGCTACTTTGTTGAAGCTGAAACTTAGAGCTTTCTGTAGTATGATGCTTCCGTCTTCAACTTTATCAAAGAAATTTTTTGGTGCTATTGCTATTGTACAAGAACTCAGTTCATGAAGAAAACTGTGCATTGGCAATATTCCAAACTTTGCCAATGGAAGCTTCTTGCTAATATGGCTTTTCACGAATTTCGAAAATGTCCATCTCCGTATAATTTCCAAAATATAAGTCCGTTTTAAATTTGTTATTTTGTCCCAAAATATAAGTCGTTTTGTGTATTTCAAGAAGTAATAAATAATATATTTTTAATATTGTCTTTATTTACTTTAAATACAATAAATATTTCACTAGCAACTATTGGTTTTGAAATAAAAGGTAATTGGTCAAATTATGCTTGAGTTTATTAATCAAGGAGAATTAATTGTTTCCTTAATCATTGTGCAAAAACTTTAAACGAATTATATTTTGGGACAGAGTGAGTAATTTGTATCGTTATGTTCACAAATTTATCTATGAAATTATTATTTAATATAATTTTGAGACTATAATTGATTCACTAAATAACATGGAATATGTATGAAAAATAATAAAAAAAAATAACGAGGCTTATTAGTTGAAAATGAAATGTAGATGAACAAAAGAAATA